AAGCAAAAATTAAACACAGCCCCACTTTCCCATCCATCTCTGTGCTCTTACCATTTGTGCTGGAGCTGTCGGGTAGCTGGCTGAGCGGTGAGGAGAGACAGGAGCTGACTGAGGAGTCGCAGGGGGAGCTGGTGTTGCTGTCCCTTCCTCTTCCACTGAGCTCTGCCTCCTCTTCCTGAAGCCCCCTCCCTATAGAGGAGGGCAGTGGAGCGCTACCCTCCATAGCACCCATCACAGTTTCCATTCTATTGTTACTAATGCTGCTGCCTTTAACGCCAATACAAGTGCTTCTACCTCCACCACTTATGCTATTGCTTCCTTTACTGCTACTTAAGCTGCTAGCACTGTGGACAACACTTGCACCTATATTGTTATTGCTATTATTATTGCTAATACTAGCAACATCACTTGTAGTTTCAGTGCTGCAAGCTATGCAGCTGATGCTACTCCTCTTAGTATTGCTACTGATGCTACCACCACTGCTACTAGCGTTCATGCTACTGCAACTAGCACTGCTGCTATTAGTGTTCAGGCTATTATTGCTATCACTGATACTGCTGGTGCTGCCATTAGACATTTGGCCTCTTTCAGTTGCTGTCTGCTTAGGTAGGCCAAGCTGTAGGAAAGAGAGAGAGAAAAAGAGGGCGAGAGACATAGAGACACATCAAGAGAGGGTAATTCAGAGTTTGGCAGGTTGTGCAAGCAGATACACGCTACAATCCAATTGCTGCTGCTAGGAAAGGAAAAGCCAGCACACACACACACACACACAGAGTGCTCACTCTGCTCACACACTCACACAGAGCCTTTCTAATGCACCTTGGCCGTGGATGCCCATTGCCCTCCCCCTCTGTGAACCCATCACTCTCCTGTTAATCCCAATGGGATCACCCAAGTTAAGTCCATTAATGTTCCATCTGACCAACACTTCAGCCCGCACAAACACACACAAACCACATGAATAACTACACTTCATCCAGACAATTAATTACACTACACAAGGCCTCACTCACTCTTTCTCTCTCACACATACACACAAGATCAAAATGGCCCAGTGTCAGCAAACAGGCAGAAAGAAAAAGCCAGCAAGGCACAGGTTGAGAGATTAGTAAATCAAACCGACAGAAAGATGTGCGCAGCAGTCAGAGCTGTAATTAAACTCAAGAAGGAGAGCTTTGTAGGTGGACATTTAAAGGGACAGCACTCTAAAACTGTCTGGGTTCTTTAAACTTGTACATATGTACATATATATTTATACATCCATGTATTTGCTCATGTTAAAATATGTGTGCAATATATGTGATGTTTTAAAATATAGGTTAATATTTACATATGTGGTATGTAAATGGAAATATATTACAGACACACATTTTGCGTACAGAATGGCTTGAAGACTTGAGATCCATGTGGAAAAAGACTGAAATAAGGCAATTTATTATTACTGTAGTGTACATTCAACAGTTGAATACAGTTTCTGTACAGTCATATGCAAACGTTTTAACTCCGTCAGTAAAATGACTTGTTTTGTTGATTTTCTAAGTGAAAATAAGTCATCTATGGTGGACAAATGTAAATATGACATTTTTACTGCAAATTATAATGCACAATTTCTTAGTAGCTGAGTCTAGCACATTGGAAAAAATAAAAAAACATAAAATATAAAAAGTTTAACATATGTTTTTTCCCCAATATGTTAAATTCAACCAATAAATAACTAACTGTGCATCAAAATGTGCAGAAGTGTGTTCTCTGTAGAGGGTGTGTTAACTTATTTTCACTTAGAAAATCAACAAAACCTCATTTGACCGCTGGCGCCCAAACTTTCGCATAGGAATGTAGCCAGACAAATGTGCTGCCCTGAGGGTTTTTATATATCAATGCTGTCCAAAGAAATGCATCTCCAAAGTAGTAACTTCACAGGAGACAACCAAAACATTCTTTTCTCTTAATGTAAGGTAATGTAAAGGAATTTTATTCCAAGTCATTGTGGAGCATTTCTATTGGTCTATTCATCATGAAATTTAAGGAAGCAGAAAAATGGAGATTTTGTTTTTCCTTTGATACCGATGACATAAAACTGATGTATATTTAGTGGGAAAATCCTAATTATTCTTCTAAACTGATATATTAAGGAGCTACATTTGGGTTGCATAGCTTTGTGAAAGGATAAATAAAGTCCCTTTTTGGTGTACAGCCACTTTAGTAAATTACTTTCTGTGCTGCAAGCCCATCGCAGAGTGCTTTACAATTGACAGAGGTGAAAAAACATACCGCAGGGTGTGTGGGGTCTCTCCTCCTCTTCTTCTGATTTGATTTAGCAGCATTTGGGGGGACAAGCAGGTTTTCCTGCCACCTAACAGAATCATTCATTTAGATCTCAGTGCAAAACAATATAGTCTATATTAGTGATGAACACACATACATGCTGCTGCTTATGCTCTACCATATGTGATTATGCACACATTACATACAAGCATTTAAAGTGTCCCATAAATACAGAACCACTGCAAAAGCCAAGATCAAATGTTACTACAGCAGCACTCACAAACTTTAATAACTCTCTAGACAATGAACTGTCCTACTTCAGACGTTAGTAATACAAACATTATCAGTTTTCTAACATTCCTGCTGTCTTTCTAGCAGAACTGGACTCGCTTGGACTAAAAAGATTGTATTGAATTTCTCTTACTTCTGTTTCCTGGACATGTCTGGTCGTAGACAGCAACTGACGAACAGAAAACTATTCCCAAGAAGTTATGAAGGACAGGAAAAAAAGGAAAAAGGACGATCCAAAGCAGCGCTGTGATGGTCTTCTAAACAGACACAGACAGAAAATACACCTACAAATCCCAGACACCCTCCATTACACTCTTAGCGGATTACAGCAGCCTTGTTGAGATTTACTGACTTATAACACTTAAGCAGAGTATTACAAAGAGAGAGAGGGAGTTGAAGAAAAGGCAGAAGAAGAAAAAGAGGCAGAAACAAAAGGATTGGGTCTGGATCTGAAGCATAATGTGATACACTAACTTTCAGAAGTGAGGAATTTTAAGTACAGGCTTAGAACAAAGACAAAGAAAGTGAGTCTTGGCATTGGCTGACAGGTACTCCATGAGCCAATGTTTAAAATGCAGAGAATTAGAAATCATAATCTGTAAGTAATGAAAGATTTCACTTGAGAAAAGAACAGAAGCAAGGTGAACATCAAATGAAGGGGTATCCAAAGCCCTTAAGCCCCTTTCTTACTGGTTAGCACTCTTCTTCTCTAAACAATACACTTGAGTAATCGCCAAAATAATTTCTACACTGTAAAAACTAAAGGTAACAGGATTAATGGAGGAAGCCTTGATCATCTGTCTATAAGCTCTTGCAGGAACTCCTAACTTCCTCGTTTGGTTCCATGAAGCACAACACTTCAGTGACAGGTTCTGAAGGAACTCTTTTCTATTGAATCAGCCTTCAAGCATCTTTTGGGCTCTTAGAAAACCTTTTAAGTATTGTTGTGGTGCACCGTCGTCACCATATGTAGTGGGACGTGGTGTCACCAGTAGTGTGAGGCTACGAGCAGGAAAGAAGTCTTGGGTTCCTGTTTAACTAGTGCCACACAAAGAAGTTCAAGTGCTCGCAGTCATTTATTAAGTGTCAGTCACCCAAGAAAAGGATATTTACATATTTAGAACAAAGTTAGAGGTTTTAAAAACAAAGCTAGTTCTTATAGTGGCTCCATAAGCTTCTCAGCTAATATCCAGCAGCCACTCACAGTCTAAACATAGTCAGAAGCAATTACATATGTCTGGAGGCCACAAGGCCAAACAGACTACACACTAGGCCTCGAGACTACTCTTTTTATTTTTATTTTTCTGGAGTGCCTCAAAGATATTTTACACACCTCCAAAGTTCAGTCTTAGAAGTTGGTTGCATTACTGTTTCTGCCTTATGCCTTAGCAGCATATGTACTGTCATCTATTACTTTCACTAATCTTAAACTTAAATTCATCAGTCTATAAAACCTTACTTTGCATCTCAGATGTCCAGTTTTAGTGTTCTATAACATAATAATTGTCCGTTTCATTTTCAGATCCATAGCGTTAATGGTTTTTTGAGCTTTTCACGATCAAAACAATCCCAAACATATGCAGTCAGATAGATTGTCTGTTTTCTTCACTCAGTGAAAGGATGGATATATGTTGATAGTTCTAGAAGCTCTTGTTTTTTCCAACTATTTTCCTTTGACTTCCTTCTTCTCTATGCAGGTTTATTACATGGGGTAACAATGTCAATGGTACCTTTGGGAGCAGCTTTTGTTGGGAGGACACAACTGTAAAACTAAGATTAAAGGTTGGAAGTGGCAGTGGGGTGCACAAAAGTAAAGAGTGGACAATTGAACCATTCAGGTGTTTGGGGGTTCTTAGAAGAACCTACAGGCCTAGAGGACCTTCTAAGAACCTTAAGCCAGTTCTGGTGTTCCTCAGAGTTCTCTTTTGTTTTACTCTTGACTAACCAAGATTTTTGATGAGCACCTACATCCATTACTCATATATTATTATGAATATAATCAACAGTGATAGCTAGGGCTGGACGTTTTGTTGAAAATATTGCAATTTTTCTGACCAATATTGCAACTGGAATTTAAATGCAATTACTTTCTTTAAATTAAGCTCTAGGTGGAGGTGGAGAAAAGTAAAAGGTTTACATTTTAAACACGGAATGCCAGCTTACAAGCTGTTATGAGGTTAAATTTCTCAACTTAAAATGGGTTAAGACAACTGTAAATGTGGAATATTATCAAAATTGCAGCCCTTGTGATGTGAAAATTGCACTCATTCAAATTGATATTATAATATAAATACAACTAATCTTTCAGCCCTTGTGACAGTCCTAATCACTTAACCCCCATCTCACTCATCCTTTATTGTAAAAATGAAGGCACAAATAAATAATCTGGTTTTGTCTGTGAGGCTTTTACCTCATACGCCTGATTTCAGTCAAACAGAAATAACTTAGACATAGACACCACTGTTTTAATAGAATAATTTGTGCATTTAAGGTGTATAACAGTTTCCAAAGGAACATGCTTACAGGACTTATGCAATGTGGGAAATACATCTATACAGGAGTAGATACTGTTGATGCAAATATACTGACAGAGTAGAGCACTGGAATGAAAATATACTGCTGTCAACAGGAAAATAACAGAAGATACATTTTAGCACAACAATTGATTCAGTGAGCGGTTAGCATTGCAGGTGTGTGTGTGTGTTTATGTATGCTGAGTTAAAATTCTCCTCCTTCCATGTTGGGATCAACTTTCATTTTCTGTTTCTTCATCACAGCCTCCAGCTCAGTGGATTTCCTTGCTTTCTAAGAGCGTGAAGAAAGGAGACATTAAACCTTATTAAACAGCTTTTTGCATGGACTAAACAGAAAAGATTCAGCTTTAATGAGAGTCTTGAATATGAAATTGATTTCATTTTGGTTGTGTTACCTCCAGCAGTGCTTTCTGCACTGTTAGCTGGCTGTAAACTCTGGCGCCCTCTTGTGGAGAAACCGTACAGAGCTCCTCTTTAGTCAGGGAGTAGAGCTGAGCTCCACTGAGAATGCCCAAACTGTTCACTGTGCTGAAAGAGGAAGGTTCTGAGTATTAATACATATTTGTGATACAAATGAGTATCTGATTTATTTGGCTGTATATAAAAATAAGGTGATAAACATTTTCTTTAACATAATACTGTTTTTATTCAACATAATACACTGAAACAAAGTACAAGTATTAATTAGTAGTACTTAGTATTTTCATATCATTGCTGTTGTTAACGAAACTTTGTCTCCCTGAAACAGTACCTTTACAGAAGATGATTACATTATTAGATTTAATGCACAATAATGTAACTTAACATTTTTTTTTTTATTTATTTTCAGCCATAGTACTTTACATACAATACATACACATCACTGAAGCCTTTGCTTTTGAGCCACTCCTGAACCTCGCCTGGAGATGAATGATAGCTAAGAGAGGCGGTGGTCTCGTTGGATCTGTGCATAATTGAAGGCCGCGTTCTCCCATTGGCCAGCCGCTCTGCGAGCTCATTATTCATGAGCATCACTGAGAATGGAAACAGACATGAGGGCTATAACCGGCACACATTTCATTCACTGCAACCTTTGATGTAACAGACACAAACAGCAGCCACAGCCATATGAAGTATGAAAGATTAATTAAACTTTAGGTTTTTGCCAAGATGAAGTTGGAACTGGCAGAATATCTCTGTAAAAACATGAAGTTTATAAGCTTACCTTTCTCTCCTTCATCTCTAATTGGCGGCATACTGAGTGGGCGTGTCTCGTTGTGGGTGTGGTTTTCCCCTGAGGAATTTGGCATGGCGTATGAGAAACGCCCTCCTCCCGGAGGAGACAGTGGAACTTTCTGTCAGTGCCAGAGTACAGTTAAGAAAATGTGTGCCACTGCAAAATAGGAGTGTAAAAGTGTGTGTGTGTGTGTGTGTGTGTGTGTGTGTGTGTTTGTGTGTGTGTCTCACCATGGATGGCTTGCGCATCACTACATGTGAGTCTGGCTCTGTGTGGTTGACAGGCTCCAGGATGTTAGATGGAACAAAGCCAATCTGGTCATAACTGTTCCTGCACTTCCACCACCGCTTAGATGACTCTATAACCTGGGGGAAAGAGAGGGAGAGAGAGAGAGAGAGATAAAGAAAGAGAGCCATAGAGACTTTTCAGTAGTTGCTAATTTACTGTGGTCCATCTGTTGCTGCACAATTTATCAGCCACTTTCTATTCCATCCAAAGGGACCACCACAGGACCAGTGCCAGTCAGATATTACTTGTGTGGTGGTTTATTCTCAGCACAGCAGTGACAACATCATGGTAATGGCATGTAAGTGTGTTTGGCAGTGGTATGAGTGGACCAGGCACTGCTCCATTTTTGGGTTTTTACTCTTATTCAAATGGAATGCATTCACCCTCAGCTGGGTTAGCTTCAGTGAGCTAGCCAGGCATACTTTGTAATGCAAAACATCTTTTGAAAAGTCTGAATGTAACATATGTAAAAACTCTGGCTAAAAACCTGGCTGTATTTGGATGTATTGCTTTTTTTGCTGTTGCTAGCTGCTGTGTAGCCTCTATCTTGTTAACTAGCAGGCCAGTAGATGAAGATGGATCAACAGTCCTGTATGGAGTAGTTTGCTAACTAAAACCAATTCTGAACATGGCATGTTGAATGTTATGGTTTGAAATATTCAGCATTTAAAGTATTTCATTGCTAACTGGCTTATAAACAGCTTTGTCTGCCATTTTTCAGATTTTAAAAAACATAAATGCGTAAGCTCACAAGGATTTCTGACTTCCCTTGGGCTAATATATTAATGGAATGACACTTAAGATGGCATCAGGAATTCCCTTGAGAGGAACTGGTGAGGCCAAGTGGACAAGGGCTTGTAAAAACCGATACTGAAATGGTTGGATAGTCTCAAACTGTACACCTTCAAGGTGTGCCAACAAGGTAGGCATTTTCTAATAAAGTTAGTAGGTGTAGACTTTATATGCAGTACACAGTATAGATGAATGTATGACACAGGAAATGCTGAACTGAGGTATGTGTACCTGTAGAGTTTCTCCGTGCAGCACTGAAAGCTCACTGCTGTTCCGGGCCACAAAGTCATAACTGCAGCGGTACAGCCGCTCCACATCCGAAGGAGGTGGATTTTCCACACTGCAGGAAGCAAAGCAGAGACACATGCACCCATGCACACAGAACCGCACATAAAATCAGTGGAGAACCAGCAAGGCCTTCTAGGCTTTAGTTTCTAATGATTTCTGTAAAATGAAAAATACATGTCTGTAATTTTTGGTTACTTTCTATGTAATATAATCACAATGCTTGATGAATTTAAACTATCCAAGTACTGTAGTACTACTCTCATTTCATTGTTAGGTTTTGGTCAGAAACAAATGAGTTAAATTCTTGAAATGCCTAAGGGAAATATATACAATCCAGATTTTTTTCTCTGTGGTATCTAGATGTATACAGCCAAGCAAACTCTTCCATTGGTTAGGACATCAGGAGCTGAACTGAAGGCCTAAGGTGTAAGATTAACCACCAATATAATTGGGAAGTGACAGCAGAATCAGCTAATCATGTTTTCATGTTTTGATTTCCAATTTGATTTCAATTGTGCAAGAAAAATGTCACTGTAGGCCTTGTGGAAGGCATAGAATATGATTCTATGTGGTAGCCTGACCAATGTGTTTTAGTCAGTCATTAGCACAGTGGCAGCTCTATGTCATAACTTTTTAATGAAAGAGTCACTGTAAAACTGCTACAATGTAACATATACAATCCTGTTTCCAAAAAAGTTAGGATGCTGTGAAAAATTTTAATAAAAACTGAATGCTATGATGTGCAAATCATTTAAACCCTGTATTTAGTCAAGCGTAGCACAAAGATGATATAAGATGTTAAAACTGAGAAATTTAGCTATTTTTTGAAAAATATATGGCCAGTCTAAATTTAATGCCAGCAACAATTTTTAAAAAGGTTGGACGGGGCAACAAAAGGCTGGTAAAGTTGTGTAATGCTAAAAAACACCTAGTGGAACATCTCACAACTAATTAGGTTAATTGGCAACAGGCCAGTAAAAAGAGCTTTGCAGAGGCTGTGTTTTTCAGAAGTAAAGCTGGGGAGGGGTTTACTGAAGGACTGCACAGACAACTATTCAATAATAAAGTTTCTCACTGTAAAATAACAAAGAACTTGGGGATTTCATCATCTACAGGACATACTATCATTAAAAGATTCAGGGAATCCAGGGAAATCTCTTTATACAAGTGACAAGGCAGAAAACCAATACTGGATGGTCGTGATCTTCTGACCCTCAGGCAGCACTGCATTAAAAATAGACAGGATTCTGAAGTCACTGCATGGGCTCAGAAACACTTCTGAAAACCACTGTCTGTGAACACAGTTCATCACTGCATCAAATGCAAGTGAAAACTCTACCAACAGCTGCTGCCATCCAGACAATGTCTTTTTCAGGGAAGACCTTGCTTATTTCAGCAAGATGATTTCAAACCACAGCATGGCTCTGTAGTAAAAGAGTCCGGGTGCTAAATTGGCCTGCCTGCAGTTCAGAAGTGACACCCATTGAACACATTTGGTGGATTAAGAAACAAAAAATTTTGTTTTCAAAATTGAATATGTTGTCTTTGTACTATTTTCAATTAAATATAGGATTTCAATGATTTGCACATCACTGTATTCTGTTTTTATTTACATTTTGCATAGCGTCCCAACTTTTTTGGAAACGGGGTTGTTCGTTAATTAGTGTGTTAGGCCAAAAAGCATTCATGTGAATTGCTGTTAGCTTATCACTAACATACTACTGGAATCCCATAGGGGTGCTTGCAGAAATTAGCATTATTATATAGGTGTGTGTTTTTTCTAGTTTTCAACTTTTTTTTTTTTTACATTTATGGCCCAAAATTAAGGCCTAGCTCTAACAGTCACTGTTCACCATTGTTACTAATGCAGAAATGCATATGTAGTATCCTATATAGGGCTAACACTTACATTTCTGTCACTGTCGGTGAAACTGGTGGTGAGGCCTGGCTAGGTTCCAACTGAAATGACAGGACAAATGTTATCGAATAGATATAATTTAACATGTAAGCGTTAAATTGGTGTGTGTGTGTGTGTGTGTGTGTATGTGTGTGTAAAACCTGTTGAGACTGTAGCTGGGCCTCATATTTGTGTTCTGACTCTACTGGATCCTCAAATGCTTGACCATTTGCATCACGAGCCTCAGGCTGCCAACCATCAAGGAATGCTAGTGTGTATGGTGATACTGGCTGAGCATGCTGCGAACTGACACACAGACACAGACACACACACATCACACACACACACATGCACACACAGGAGTTCTTTATGTGGTCTACTTTTTAACCATAGTTAATTTTATATATCGCATAGGCGGGTCAGGTTTAGCAGGTTGAGGTGCGGTTGTTTAGGTGAGAGGCGTGGTCTAGGTGAGGCATAAATTAAATCTTAGTGAGGTTTACTGGATATTTTTATGTTTAAGCTGACACTGGAAACACACACTAAAATGTTTTGAGCTTCAAAGGGATTGAAAACTGTTTGATTCTGACACAAATTTGTAGGTGAACTAACACTTTGGATATCATGTTTATAATTTCAGAAAATGGAGCATAACTGAAAAAAACACATGGTCCCACTTTATATTAAGTGTCTCTAATAACTGTATAGTTACATGTGAACAACATATGCAACAACAATGTAACTACAAATAATTTAGTCACTGTTACAGATGAATTACAGAAGCACAACTTTTGTAATCACACGTGTATCAACTTCAGTTTTGCCTCATGTATTTACATGTGTATCTTAATAGTTGTAACAGTATATTCTCTCTCGTGTAATTACACAAGGGTAATAACATAAATGTAATTACCTTTGTAATCAGACAGGAACAGCAGTTTTTAAAAAAAAATTTTTCCAGCAGTAAAAGAAAATATTCAATAACTTACATTAAGACATTACTTACACTGTAACTGCCAACTTTTTCTAACATTTAGCTAGCATTAATGTTGCTAGTGCTGTGACACTGTAACCAGTTTCAGCTTTAAACCATTCTGTAATGTGACAGTACAGCAGACGTCCTCTTATCTTAATATGTAACTTTTATGACATTAATTAAATGTGTTGCGTTACCCCAAAGCAATGTCTATATCACCACTCCATTAATACACAGTATCTGTATAACAACCATTCTCTCATTAGGCTGTACCTATAACAACTACACAGGAACTTTCCTGTAGTGTAGTGTTAAAGTTACACTTCAAAATACGTGGACAGTTCCTGTGTAGTGATGTAAGTAGGTTACTTTGTTATAACACAGTTATTCCACAGTAATTATGTAAAACATAAATGTAATGTTATGTAAAACATACTTCCTTTAACTGCTGGAAAAGACTTCTGATCTGTAGTGTATCAAAAAGATACACTTGTGTAATTACATGAGGCAAAACAGAAGTTGAGGCACATGTGTAATTACATAGGCTGTACTGCTGTAATCCATCTGTAAAATTGGCTAAACCATCTGTAGTTACACTGTGGTTGCATATGTTATTCATGTGTAACTACACAGTTATTAGAGACACGTAATATAAAGTGGGACCAAACACACTTTGAAGCGTGTTAGAACCTGTAATACGAACTATGACTGGGTCCAGTTGGGGCCGAGAGAGCTCCACAGCTCTTTCTCCTCCTTTGTGAGATTCTGCTGCAGCAGAGTGACCGCTCCACTGGTCAGAGCCGGGCTGGAAACACCCGCTGCCAACCCAGGACCACCTGTGGTTTTAACCATCTGGCACACAAACACACATGTTGTGTTCTTTAAAGCAATAGTTTGGCAAAAAAAATCACATTTAAACAATTTTACACTTACCCAATATAATTAAGACATGTTTGGTGTTTAAAGTTTGTTTTGTGATTAGGAGCTAAGAAGCTAATGTAGCCAAGTAATGGACATTCATACCCCGCCTATTCTCCACTGTAAAGTAATCTCAAATATACACTATATAGCCAAAGCATGTGGACACCTCTCCTTATTGTGTTCAGGTGTTTCAGCCACACACACTGTTAACAGGTGTATAAAATCAAGCACATAGCCATGCAATCTCCATTGACAACTCCATATTTATGCCTATGGTTTCAGAAAGAGATGTCCAACTAATTGCATACTTTTGGCCATATAGTGCACATCATTTTAAGCATTCAAAGTACAATGGGTATTTAGCTTGATTTCATGATTTCAGAAAGTAGAAGGAACCAGAAATTTCTCTGCAGTAATTTGCAACAGCTATTACATAGAAGCAAAGCTGTTCATTGCAAGTTAGCCTCTACATACTGTGTTTCTGTAGGTGTGGGTGTTTGTGGTTCATTTGTGCCTATGATAAGATAAAGGAGTTCCAGTGTTACGAGCAGCTGGCACTGGATGAAAGTATGATAAAAACTAAGGCTTTAAGCTGGATGTTTTAGCTATGCAATGTGCTTCTGTCACTTCTACTGAAATGTCACTTTAAACTCATCTAATATACTGTGTCTAACTGGATAACCAGGCATAGCTTTTTGGCCTTCATTCCCACAGGTGATGAAGAAAACTGCACTGTTTGCCAAAGTCTTTGTGCCCATGAAAATACTATTGTATAAGTACTTATTTCGAAATCCGCCTTATCAACCTTATGAAAGATCATGCTTTATCTAGAGGAGAATGAAGGCCCAGCCCAGTTCCTTTACTTGACAACTCATTGTTGAGGCACACCCTCATGAGAACAGCTGTTTTACAGAAACACTTCTGGAGAGTTTAAACAGTAATTCCATCACAATTTTAAAATTTCTGCATAATTCAATCATTGAAATGTAAACAATCTCATTCAGAGTGGTTTAATGTTACATGGCACATTATAGAGAAATTTAGATTTTCTTCACAATGGTGGTGATAGGTACAGGGGGTCCCAATGTCACCCAAATGCAAATATATATTTTTTTGCTATCCAAAGAGACCACTGAACCTACACAAGTTTTATATGTAATGTTTATCATGATAAATCCTAAAAAATAAGTTTCCTTTGGGTACTATTCGTCTTATAGCACCTTGCATGTAACTCTCCACCAGGAACGGATCTGAAGACAGAAACCTCCTAGGCCAAAACCTCATCTCAAAACTACTGCAAAACAATGTCTCAGGCAATGTATTTGTTAGCATTTAATGCAATAATTATCTACAAGATAACCTTTACAGGCTTCAGACATCTGGCTCCTATCACCACCAGTGTGAACAATTTTTACTTTGCAAGATTTTTTTTTCTAGAATTTAATTCTGGATTTTATAGAAGTTCCAACTAATTACTGTCCTAAGGCAGTGGTTCTCAGCACTCCTACTTTGAAAATCTTCATGAATACCAGCCCTAGATGAAATAAGACATCTTTATTTTTACTGTACAAGTAAAATGAGATCTCATTTGGAGCGAGTCTTTAGATGCTTACTTTAGAAGTAACTCACTTATAGACTATAAGGTACAAAATATAGAGTAAATAATATGTATCAAAGTTAATATATACACAAAAAATAATATGTCCATTAAATAATAAGTAAATAAATAAATAAATTCTAGTGTTTGAAAAAAACATCTGTATAATAAAATGGTTCAGATGTAAACATTCAGAGTGGTTTGATGTGCCGTTCTAAATAAGCTTGCCAAGTAAGAATTGTGGTGTTTTGTGCTGGTATTTTCAGGATTAATTATTATCAGCGTTACATATAAAACTCATCTAGGTTCATTGGTCATTTTGAATAGCAACATTGGGACCCCTGGTACCTGTCACCACCATTGTAGAGATATAACACTGCCCTCAGGGAGGGTTTGTTAATAAGTTTATTAGTTATATCAAGTGTAATGGGAGCAAGGGAACTCTAAAACATGCAGGACAGCAGTACTTCAGGGCATGTATTCATGAAGCTAATTCAGGATTAAATTCCTCTCTTATTTACGATTACTGACAGGAGCATAACCTAGATCAGCACTCCTGCTCTGAGAAGTTTTATAAATACAGGTCCTGGACCAGGATTAAGAACCACTGTCTTTGGGCATAATGTCTTAGATTAGGAGGAGAATATATATGGAGTAGCAGGTTGGCTTACAAGGACATTGTTTTTTTGTGGAAAATACAGACAGCGTGTGCTTCCTATGGAGTATTGTGTATATATATACACTAACCAGGCCCAGAGGAACAAACAGGTGATGCAGAAGCTCCTCCGAGCTCGGATTTGATATTTCATTTTTCAGACGGTCCTGGAATATAAAATACGAAAGCATGGATGAGAAGAACACACAGACACCAGAACGGCCACCACTTAGACAGACACTGTAAACAAGGCATTACCAGCAGGCTGAATGAATATTTTATCTTCTGGAAAATATCTATAAACTCCTTCTCTGATGGAGAACTTTCTTCTTCTGACATCAGGTCATCTGCAACACACACACTCACATTACAGCAATTACAGATTACTCATCTAAAGCCTGTCCCCATCCTCGTCTCCCTCCTCTTACACTGCTGCTTCTTCTTCTTGCTCTTCTTCTTGTTATTCTTTTTCTTCTTCTGTTCTGCAGCACTCTGAGCATCAGCCACCTTCTGCAAGCGGCCCATGAAGCACTCCACATCAGCAAAGCAGTGGTTCACCAGTTCCTGACAGATAGACATCATAGATCTAAATTACTCGATTCTGGGATTAAATATTCTATAAGGTATGCACTTATAAAATAAAACTCGAGGTATTTTCAAATATTTAAAAAAATAATAATAATAATTTGTGTGTTGCTGTAATAGTCTATCTTCCACTACTGCGTAAATAGTTCCCCATATTTGTGAATTTACTGTATTTTTAAAAATTGATTCAGAATTGCACCAAAATAATTGAACTGGGTCAAATCAGGTTTGATTTATGATGCACATATATTGTGTATATTGCTGCCATCATAACTAGGCCTGTCATGATGATACATTTTTAGCTAACAATTATTTACCATGTTATTTTCAGTTTATGGAACCTATTAAAGTACAAGCTTTAGCAGCTAAACCCGCTAACTAAGTATCTTGCTTCCTAGCTGTCTTTGTGTTTCCAACTGACAGTTACACAGAATCTTGTGCAGTCAACCAAAGCTCACATTTCTTATGAGTCTGTGAAAATTCTTAATTTTGATGATTGTTAATGTGAGATTTTAAGTAATCTAACTTTTAAGTAATCTAATTTCTTTTGGTCTATTCACCATGAAAAAAATCACACAATGTAAAAGGTAAACTGGTCATACACACCACTTCTCGCGCCGCGTGTATGACATGTGGAACTGTTTTCTTTCCATTTTCTGGAATGAAAAAGCAGAAATATCACAAAATACTGAAACAGTAATGACAGCCATGCTGAAAAGTCTTAGAAACCATTAAAAATTTCTGCTGGTTCCTAGTGGTGTCTAATAGTCACAGATGTTATTTTGTGTTTTTTCCTGATGGGTAAATATCACAATGGAAATGATTCTAATGGCTTAACAGGAGTACTGAGACTGATTCCGGATGCATTTGATGGTAGCCAGGGGTCTCCATTAGGTTTTAATATGAATGGTTCTTAGGGTCTTCTATTCAGTAGGGTGAAGCTCACATTAAAAGACTCAGCACATTTGCTTTTCATTTCTGCCAGAAGATCAGCCAAATCTTTCATGCATTTCAGTGACCTTCCACTATACTATACCTAACCTTTATTTCATTTCACCATATTGGTGTGATTCCCAGAGGATTGCATGTTACTGACCATCTCTTGACGTAACAGCCCGGTTATATATATATCGCAGAACATAAAGTTGGGATAGCTTAGTTATTAATAATTTGAACTCATCTTTGACATGAAACCAAACTAAACAAGCCCTACATAAGAAAGTGATTTTGTTTTACCAGTTCAGAATGCTAACAAGCTAACGCTAACAAGCTAAGGGGAAATGATCCTCTGAGTTAGGCTGTAAGTTGAAGCATTTAGCGAAAGATTAGCTTAAAAACACAATATGCAAAGTAAACATGTTTTAAAGGCTTAAAAGTCTACAGCTAACATGCAGAGTAATAAATTGTACCTGGGAAAATAAAAAAAACTAAATTCAATGGATGCCAATGGAGATTCGCGTTATGCTAGCAACCTAAACACTGCTATTTGTTAAAGTGCAGCTATTGTAAAAGTGCAGTTAGTTATTTGTAAAGTGATGTTTTCAGTTTGAAACTGTGTGTCTGCTGCTTTTTTATGAATATATGGTACAGGTTGTGCTAAGTTAGTGGATGGGGATGATAACACGGAAAAAACAACAGAAATTTCAGAGAGAAAAAAATTGTACAGTACAGACTGGCAAAGTTTATTTTAGTTCTTATTTGGAATTAAGCAGAGAGAGCAGACCTATTCTCTCTAACAGCCCAGAGTGATGTTGAGGATTACAGTCTACAGTTGTTAACTACACTGTTGTTAATCACCATTTGGAAATGCTGCTCTGCCTGTAACTAACCCAAACTTTTACCTTAAGCTCTGTAACTAGAAGACACTTGGCTCTTTTACTCTTCCACCATAGAAATATGTTTCATTTTCCAGAAACATAGAAATGGGCTCTCACAAAAACAAAAAAGAAACCCAGAAAACGAGCAACCTGAAGTACACATAAACTGCCATACAGACCGTTGGCGTGAGGGTTGTGAGGCTGAGCATCTCCAGACAAAACTTTAGACAACATAGAGTGCTTCCTAGGAAGAGCCTTTGGAGCAGCCATCTGTGAGGAAGAGAGAGAGAGAGAGGCAGAGAGAGAGAGAGAGAGAGAGAGAGAGAGAGAGAGAAAGAGGAGACAGGGGGGAAAAGAGAAAAGAGGTGGATGGAGGGAGTGAGAGAGTAGGGAGAGAGAGAAGAGAGGAAGAGAAGAAAGAAAGTGAAAGGGAGAGAAGGAGAAAGAGAGAGAGAAGGAGGAGGGAGAAAAGAAAGGAAAAAGAAAAGAGAGAGAGGAAAGAGAGATATAGAGAGGACAGAAAAGTGAGAGGGAGAAAGAGAGAAGAGAGTGAAAAGGAAGGAGGAGAGAGGGGAGAGAAAGGAGGGATGTGGAGAGAGATAGATACAGAGAGAGAGAGAGAGGAGAGAAAGTTGTTTTGAACAGTCTGTTATACAGGACACTCTAACTGACACACTGAAAGTGTCATTCTGAAAGTCTATAGATAGACAGTAGTAATATAATAGCATTAATGAATTTTAGACACTGGCCATCCTAAAACAGCTGTTGTCAGACATACTGATCAGTCACACAGCAGACAAGGTGAACACTGAAAAACTAATCACACTGTATAGTCCAATTACATAATCCAATAACATAACTAACATGTTACTAAAGAAATACTAACAGATAACCTCTGTATTCTCTTGCACCAGTGCCTTTAAATCGTGGAGTACAACTGTAATATGTCATTCTGTATATGTCCAGCTGTGAAACTTATTCAGCTCAATAGCTGATTGTCAAATTATACAACTTTTCATGAGCTTTTTGAGTGTGTTAGAGCAGAGAAAACAAAATGTGCTGTGCAATGTCCAGACTGTGATTGGAAACACTGTCTTATTGGTAAATAAAGTTGGCATTGCCTATTATGTTGACAGAGTCTGCTAGCAATTTTTTGTGCAGAATATACACTATACATTTAAAAGTATACAGGCAGCCCTTTAAGCTGCACTCATTGCTGACAGGCCAAAGTATTGCCAATAGAATGGGGCACTCTGGAGCAGGAGCATAGAGGCTGGGGCCCACCCAGATTAATCACAGACCTATCCAATCAAATGAGCACAGCATTTTTATCAGGCTGCATTTTTTAAGGTAATTAAATTTGATTTGTTTTCTGTGAGTGCTGTCATTGTATAATGGCCAATCAAAGTCATCACGCTCTCTCCCAAACCTTTTTCAGCCCTCCAGTTACTGCTTAGCAACTGTTGCTATCTGCCATTGGCCTTCAGCTCTTTTTCAGTGCACCAGTGTTTAAATTTAAAGCTGCAGCTATGGTCAAAAGATGACCCTTAAAATGAGCTCACATCACTTGTAGAGCAGAGTATGTCATTTTTGACCCATCTGAAGCCAAAAACAAAACTGTTGTCATCTCTTTACTACAAGGACTAAAACAGACTGTGTCAAAATGACAAAGCAAACATCTACTTTAATGCAAGCCATCAAAGGTAAGATATCAATAGTCCATAAACATTTTCATGCCCACCGTGGCAGTATGCTTCGGTATAGAATGCTTTGGTTTAGGTTTTTTAATTTTTCTGTCTTGTTTCTCCTCCTCTTTGTACATTTGTTCAGCTGTATGATTTTAACTCAGTTATATCATCTTCTTTGGGGAAAAGTTGTGCCTGTGATGCATGGGTGCATTGTTCATAGTGTAGGATGTGGTAGGGTTGGTTTATGTGAGCTCAGCATTCTGGTTGATGTGTACATAGTCTCGGTCTATTGTTTTGTATCAGCGGAAGCATTAGAATGAGTTGAGTGATGACTGCACTGCTGTCAGGAATAGACAATATCCTGTTGCTATGACATTGTAGGACATTTGGAAATTGTGTCTACAAAGTTGACCTACATACTTTTTCACAAGCCTGTACAAAAATGTATTTCTGCTCTGAAAGTGGCCTAGAGAGTACTCAGTACATCACTAATGCTCTTGTGGCTGTTCCAGCATGTAGTGTAAAGGGTAGAGTCTGTAACTGAGGTAGAGGGAGGACTTCCTATTAATACCCTTTCGTAAGAAACCTTGGATAAGCAGATGTCTACAAACGTTTGGACATATAGTGTATATATATGCAAAAATATAGATTTGTTATATTTTTTAAACTGCTAATATTTTAATATACAATAATAATAGGAGTGAGATACCAGAGGGACTTTTACTAGCATCATATTACATTCACTTTAGACATGTATGTACATAGTATCTATATATACACCATGCAATTATAACTTCTAGCTAATCCCTGCCTCAGCTGACCCAGGACTCCATAGTGCTATAAGGGTCAGTCCTAGAGGTCAACAATACTGTGCAGGTCAGTGTTTTACCTGATTTGACACACCTGATTTAACTTGTAAGCTAATTAGCTATTTACCAAAGGCCTCATTGTATAAGTGGGTGTGTTAGAGCAGAGTAAACACTAAACTGTGTGTTCTTGTGGCCCTTCAGGAACTGAGTGTCCTGGTAAAGGACGTAATTGTTGCCTTCCTTACATAAAAAACCTGACTGTATTTTCAAAAAATCATGGCGGAAAATACAGCGATATATATATCGCTGACTTCCTAGCAGCATAGCACATTTATACTTCATTTTCGTTTAATAAATTACTCAGAATTAGCAATAGGACCAACACGTAAGTCTGGATTTTATCCTTATTTTGCTATTATACAAGCTGCTCTCAAATGGTCATTACACCCAAAGAAGTGAAATTGTCAGCTTTCTTGTTGACGTTGCCCAACAAATGTATGTAACAGAATGAAATGCAATGAGTTAGTTGTGTTGTTTCAGTGAAATACTGTGAGATGCCATGTTTACTTAAGTGCTTGTTTGATCAATGCAACCTTTCCCATTGGTTCCTGTCAGTATCTATTTGAATATAGTGTTACTTGTTTGCTTTTTGTTGTTCCCTATGGCCTTGTGTGAGCAACTTTGTTTTACTCTTTGGGTAAACACACAGCACCTTTATTATTAGCTGTAATAGCAAGTTACCACTGTCCCTGCTCCTGACCTTCTTTCTGCAACAGCTGAGTAGAACAGTAACAATAAGGGGTTTAACAATGCTTTGAAACATTGTGATATAATAATGCAACAATGCAACAATGTGCATGTGACATTTAATGTATTATGGCATCTAACACAACTGCACTGTTTGAACACCAATATATATCAGAGGAATGCAGAATTCTGAACCTAATATCAGGAATTAAATAAAATCATGGTCTAAGTGCATCGGTACACCCCCTAGTCTAGACTGCAGGCAGACCAATCTCTGATTATGCAGCCATGCTGTTGTAACACATGCAGAATGTGGCTTGGGCCTCCCTGAAAAAGACATTGTTGCTCCAAGATGTGAATATATCTTTCAGCATTAATAATACCTTCACAAGCGCATGTTACCCATACCATATGCACTAATACACCCCCCAACTACAACAGACCCCGTTTTTTGAACTTTACACCGGTAACAGTCTGGATGGTCATTTACTTCTTTGGCCCGCAGAACACAACGTCTATTAAAACTGACTCTTCAGACTACAAAACACATTTCCACTGGACATCAGACCATTTTAGATGAGCTTGAGCCCAAAGAAGTTGGCGGTGTTTCTGGACGCTGTTGACATATGGCTTCTGCTGTGCATAGTACAGTTTTAACTTAGATTTGTGGATGCAGCGATGAATGGGGGTTATTGACCATGGTTTGTCAAAGTATTCCAGAGCCCATTTGGTGATGCACAGAGATTTCTCCAGATTCCATGAATCATTTGATGATATTATATCACCAAACCATACAGAGTTAAGTGCCTAAAATTTTTGTAATTGCTCACTGAAGAATATTGTTCTTCAATGATTGCGAGTGCTAAGCCTTGACCCATCCTTGCTCAGAAAATGAAGCCTTTCCTGGATGCTCCCTTTATACTCAAGCATAATTGCAGCACCTATTAAAGGTGTTTTACAATGTTCACAGTCTTAAATCGCCCCTGTCAACTTTTTTGGAACATAAAAAGAATGATCGTTTTTCAGAATGATCATTTATTTACAAAAAAGCTGATAGGATTGAACATAAAATATCTTGTCTTTGTACTGTTCTCATTCAAAATGACAACTTACTGCTTTCTGTTTTTATTTGCATTTCACATACCGTCTTAACTATGTTGGATTATACGTTTGTATTTGTGTAAATTACTTTAATTCACAAAATACAAAATGACTCAATCACATATCTCAGAAGCTACTTCATACTTAATCTTCCTATTGTAGCAATAAAGTTAGCATTGTCTGACATTTTGTAAAAGAGGCACAAAAAAGCAATGCAACTACACTTACACAGTCACATCAAACAGCTTAGACAGATAATCCTGAAATAGAAACCCAACATATCATACTGTGATAGCAAAACATGTAGAAGTAGCTTTTATGAGTGAAACTGTAGCTTCACAAATACAAATATCACTCATATTTAGCCCTATTTAAACTTTGTGATCCCCATTATTGTTATAGTTAGTTACATTTGAAATTCCAACTCATTGCACAAAACGTATGTATAAACAGTGTAAATTTGCCAAAATCTTACCGTGACTTTATGTGTGTGTCTCACTCGCTCACATTCTCTGTTTATGTCTAATAGAGAAACGCAGAAACTTGAAAAACAAGAACACCTGTCAGGTCTTAGCCAACTTTTCTCTCTCTCTCTGTCTCTCTCTCTCACTCTCTCTCTCTCTCTCTCTCTCTCTCTCTCTCACTCTCTCTTTGTATGTGTGTGAGGGTGTGTTTGTTTTGACTCACTGCCTAATAAGTACTTTCCAGAAAAAGCAACAGTAAAAAATGGTGAATAAAATGTCAGTTCATTGAGAAATTATTAGAAAAGTTTATTCATGCACACACATGCATGGTTACACACATTACTAACACTGATCTAAGTATGTGCGCACACACACACACACACACACACACACACACACACACACACACATACACACACACTCGTTCATACGTTCATGTGACTGCCAGGGAAACTGTCATTCTTTTGCTGTTTCAGGTCAGTGTTTCAGCTAATCCTGTCTAACCAGCTCTCTCTCTCTCTCTCTCTCTCTTTCCCTCAGAGGTATTACAGGAATGCTATTACCTCAGTGCCCGCACTATGTGTGCTGCAGGTGTGCTTGCAAGAAAACGTGTGCAGGTGAACGTTCTGGATGTGGTATAGAATATTTATTCTTTATGTTTTTCCTCCAAAAAATGATTTACCTAAACTCTAAAAATACAACATAAACTGAACACTATTCAAAATATACGAGTGTTAAAAATAACAGTCATATGCAGTTGCAGAATATGTAACATACAGTTTTAGAATGGACAGCCTTCTCTGAACTAACTACAATATATATCCAAAAATTTTGAAGACACTTGCTTATGCTTATGAAATCAAGTGTACTGATGGTGGTTAATTAGTTCTGGATCACAAACGGCACTCCAACTCAGCCCAAAGGAATCTGGATGGAGCTACATCACTCCACAGAGTTCCACTGTTCCACAGCCCAGTGCTGGAGGGCTTTATAGCCCTTTAACTGATGCTTTGCATTGGGCATGGTGCCCTTAGGTTCTGAGAATGATATATCACACAAATGGTACCTGCTCTGTGGTGGTCCTGTGGTGGTCCTGACCATGGAAAAACAGGGTAAAAGTGGGATAAGGTATGCAGAGAAACAGATGGACTAATTGTAGAAATACAAAGTGCACCTGTATGGTGAATGAAACTAATAAAATGGACAGTGAGTGTAGACTAAAGGAGTTGTACCTAATAAAGTGATCAGTGAGTGTATATTTTCAAAAGCATCCATCTCAGATTACCTAGTACTTGATTTTTGATTGTAGATTACATATTCCAGTTTACATGTAGTTAATTACTATGCAGCACCAGTGTTGGGCCAAGTAATACCTGTGCTGTGGGAGCAGAAGAGCAGGATTAAGAAACACCATACTAGAGTACACTCACTACGTGTTCTGAACTTTCACGCTTGCTCTTTTTCTGGGTTTACCCTCTCTGGCTGCCAGCAGTAAACTTTTGTTCCAAATTCTTAGATTCCATTATCCTAAAAGCCAAAATTTCATCCCCAAACAAGTCAGTTAAAACATTGTTCAAATCTTTAAAACCTTTTCTTAACATTTAGTCAAACTGTGACACATATACCAGGTTTTTATGGAGGTCTCTGCTATATGAAATGCAATTAGTACTATACTTGAAAAGTCTGTAAAATACCTCCAAAATGTAAAAAATAAATATATATGAATTGAATTAATTTTAAAAATTAATCAAATAAAAAAAAACAAAAAACAAAACAAACAAACAAAAAAAAAAACAGTAAAGCAGTAAAGCACAATGAAAAATTCAGTTGCTTATCAAAACCTATGTATGCATTGGACCAATATATGAGCCCTCACTGTGTCATCATTTATTTATAGGGTCCAAAACACAGAAAAACTACATTTTCTCATATTTTTTTTTAAAAATAGTATGATGTAGCATGTAAACACTGCTAAAATTTCAAAATGTACCATTCAGTACTGAGTCCACACAATCATTCAATTTATGGAAAGTAAGCTAATCAAACAGCCCCTTTAGAATTCATTGTTTTTATGATGTCACAAAATCCAATGCTTTTTTATGCCTATTCAGCAAACAGCAGTTAAGTCCTGCCTGTTCACACTTAAGTTATAAAGAGCGTTTCAGCCCAGGCACAGTAACAAACATAGTATTATTAATTCTAAGGGTTAAAAAGGGGTTTGAACTTTGCATGTTTTTTTTTCTTTCTTTACTGTTTATGTTGCAGTACTGAATAGCAATACTGGCACACAGCAATAAGGGATATAAAATCAGTGCTTACCCTTTAAATGTCAGGACCTTACCTCACTAATAGATCTAAACTGCCTATGCAGTTTAAACAAATTTTAAAAATCGCAACAGTTTAATACACTTTTTTCTTCTTCATTGAATTTTACTAAAAATATTTTTTTTCTTTCAAGGCAGCTTTTTTGGTATGACTATATAACCATTAGCTGTAATCATGGTAATACATATAGTAAATTATATGGTTTAATAATAATGCTAATAATAATAATAATAATAATAATAATAATAATAATAATAAAATATGTTCCCTCACCAACATATTTTATCTGAAGAAGTGAAAGCATCTGTGGAGTGGAATAATAAGAAGGTTTTGTTTTATAATATGTGGCATAAATATATCAGCTGCAGACCCTCAGCTTAATAAGGAGAATATTTCATTTGTCTCAAACTGCTGCATGTACTCGCCACTGTGGCGCCAACGCCCTCTAGTGGTCGGAGTCTGCAGCGTGTCTTCTGGCTTCAGCTAACCACGTTACATAACGGCTCGTATGCAGAGCCTCAGAGAGGAAAACTCAGACATGCAGTATTTACGTTATTAAGGAGACTTTCACTGCACTACTTCACTTACCTGTTACTTTATGTTTGAATAACACTGCGAGCAACGGAAAAACGAGATCTGATCGACTACTTGACCTGTGTGTGTAACTCTCCCCACACCTCTTAAATTTGCCCCCACCCCAACGCATGCACGCACGCGCACTCACATACGTGTGTTTGTATTCCTATCGTTGTAGGGTGATTATGTACTGTTGCCAAATCATAGTGACAGGAATCTTACTGACACTTCACCTTTTTTCCTTTTCTTTTTCCCTGTTTGCTTCCCTCAATATTGCACAATAGCCACGTGGATCGATAAGCTAGTCAGCTCTGCTATTTAGTGACGTCACGTGCTACAATGCATGCAACATCAAGGAAAGCAGATACAAACACGGTCCCACAGTATCCCGAAGGTCCATGATGGGAGGGACACCTTTCCCTGTATTTCAGAGTGTCTCCTTACATTTTTAAAGGGATACTGCCCACTGTGTTCCGCCCTCGCGCCCCGCCCCAACCATACAACAGTATATTGAGCGAGGTGGAGGCGGTGGAGGCCACACCCTCCTCCAGCAGAGCTCCAATCAGGAGCAGCGGGGCGTCGCGGCTCTAAAGTTTGGTGACTTATCAGCTCGAAACACAGCAACGTGGCTTCGAAGTTAAACTGAACGTGAGCGAACGATAAACAGCTAAATCCGCCTAAGCTGACAACAGAGGGGAAACTCGGCAAAAAAACCAGCCGCGCAGGAGGAGTTAAAGACAAATATCCAGACACTGAGTGTGAGTGTGCGCGAGCGCCCAGAGAGAAACCCCCCACCGCAGGAGGAGGTGAGGTAAGCAGCTGTGCACAAAGCCAGCAGGGGCATTTCTACAGTTTCTACATGCACTGCATTTCTTTTTTTTCAGTTTCTTTAGTCATTGCTGGTCAGCTTTTTTTGTATTATAACATGTTACTTGTTAACTTGTTAATATCACCCCCCACACACACATATATAAATGTGTGTGTGTGTGTGTATTTATATATATATATATATATATATATATATATATATATATATATATATACAGTTTCAAGTTCAGGGTCTCAATATTTGCCTTGATCAAGTATTTTGTAGACTTCAGTTTCTTTGGAATCTGATGAATTTGTTGGTTCAGATGTGGTAAGCAACAATCTGCACTATGCAAATAAGTATTTGACAGCTTTTTTTGTACAGATTTGCAGTTGGCATTGTTATAGGCTGAAGACATTGGACAAGGCAAGGAACAGCCCCAGTGTCTGTGGTTACAATGAAATTTTATTAGTGATGCACTGATCCAACGTACTGGACTGGTATCAGCACCAACACTAACCTTATTAAACAGCTCAGATATGATATCTAAGATGTGATATCTAAGTGTCTATAAGAGTTAATAAACTGATATTCAGGTAACTGTGGAGAAGGATAAAACAACATTCAATAACAGGAACTTTGGTCGAAAATGACACAGAGCTACCCTTTTAGCTTAGCCTGTAAGACTTGTTTTTAGTTTTAGTCAAAGTAGCTCAGTAGCACAAAAGCCTGCAGAGGAATACATTTAAAAGCATGGTCTATTACTCAAGCTGACTGTGTTGGATGCTGATGAGGTCTTGTCATCTTCGACATAAAGCATTTTCTCCTCAGTGGATGATATACCAATTAGTTTGTCAGAGAAATATATTTTCCTTTTTTTCTGGACATCAGCTAGAGTAGATAGCCTAGTTAGCAATGAATCTATGTACCACAGTTAATGGCACCCCTTCAGTTAGTGCTTTGTGTAGCCCTTTGCACAGATAACAGCTCTGAGTTTTCTCCTGTAATGCTTAATGAGACTAGTGAACACATGGCAAAGGATCTGAGACCATTACTCCATGCAGAACCTCTCCACGTCCTTCAGATTCTGAGCTCCACACTGTGGACTCTCCTCTTCAGCTCATCCCACAGGTTGTCTATGGTGTTTAGGTCAGGGGACTGGAGTGCCCTTGGCAAAACCTTAATTCTGTGGTCAGTGAACTACTTCTGTGTAGATTTTGAGGTGTGCTTTGGATCATTGTCCTGCTGGAAGATCCAAACTATGGCCCTGGCTGATGCAGGCTGGTGTTGATTTTGTTTCTGCTGATACTTGATTGAGTCATTTATTTGAATAAATTGTTCAGGGCCCCACAGTATCACAGATCCACCACCACACATCACAGTGAGGATGAGCTACTTTTCTGCATGGCTGTCTTTGTGTCCACACCAAACTCACCTTTGGTGTTTGTTGCCTAAAAGCTCAATTTTGGTCTCATCTGACCACAGAACACTGTCCCACCGAAAGTTCCAGTAACTTCTGGTAATCTGTAGATGCTTGAGTTTGTTGGTCCTTGACAGCAGAGACTTTCTTCTGGAACCCCCAAAACAGCTTGTGGTTATATAGTTGGTGTTTTATTGTAGTTTAGGAGATGTTGTGACCCCAAGACCTAACTAATTTCTGCATCCTTGAAAACTCAAACCATGCTCGAAACACAGCAACATGGCTTTGAAGTTAAACTGAACGTGAGCGAACGATAAACAGCTAAATCCACCTGACAACAGAGAGAAAACCGGGCAAAGAAACAGCCACAAAGGAGAAGTTAAAGACAAATATCCAGAGACAGAACACTGTCGCACTGTCCCACTGAAAGTTCCAGTAACTTCTGGTAATCTGTAGATGCTTGAGTTTGTTGGTCCTTGTAGGTCCTTGACAGCAGAGACTTTTTTCTGGAACCCCCAAAACAGCTTGTGGTTATATAGTTGGTGTTTTATTGTAGTTTAGGAGATGTTGTGATCCCAAGACCTAACTAATTTCTGCATCCTTGAAGATTCTTTGTCCACTCAAACCATGCTCCTCACTGTCAGTATGTATATAGACATACGTCCTCTTCCCATATTGCTCTGTGTGTGTGTGTGTGTGTACATATGTATACATATATGTGTGTATATGTGTGTGTATGGACCCCAATGCAAACATACATGTGAGATGTTTTACAGTTCAAAATTTGGTGTTTTTCTATGATACAAGGGATCTTACTTTGTCTGTAACTTGAGACTTTAAAGGAGCATTGTGTTGTATGTCAGTGTCCTCCAATGCATTGTGCGTATACACTGAAGTTTGAGAAGTTTCTGAACACATGCTGGCAACATCATTCTGGACGCTGGTCACTTGACCACTACAAGGCTATATATAGAAATGGAGGAGAAGGGGTGTCAAGGGATTTGCAGTATTGTGGACAGAGGAATGCTAGAAGTAAAAGAAGACTGAAATAGTGAGAAAAGAACTGACTTATTGTGTAGTTTTAAGACAAACGGCTTTTTTTCACTGTTCCAGCATTTGTGTCAAGGTAAGAGGCACCTTCAAATCGTTCCATGTCCCTTATAATACACTCTATAACTCTCTCACTCTTTCCCCTCCCTCTTTCTTTCCTGCTGTTCCTTCTGCCTCCCTGTCAGTCAGTCAGTCAGGTTAGAAAGACTTACCCTGAATTGCTGACGCAGTGACCCACCCCCTTCTCACCCCCTTCACACCCCCTGTTACTCTCTTTCTCTCTCCCTTTCTCTCTTTGCCAGACAGTGTTCTGTACTTTTCCACTCTCACATGGGAGTACATGGGATCCCTGTGCTAAGACCTATCTCACATTAAACAGAGAGTGTACAACATGTTAGGTACTCCTTATCTTCTACCTTTAATGTACCTACTATACAGTTGCGAAGCAGTTCTGACAGGTAGACCTACCATGGGCACTCATGGAATTTCCACCAATATCTCTGCAAAATTCAGTTGTTATGATTTAGGCAAATTAATTCACAGCAGTTTGATGTAAAGTGCACCATTCTATTGAAACTTCACATCATTGACAATGGAACCAGGCGTCCAAAGTATTTAATGCCTGCTGTGACGTCACAGAAAGTTATTACATGAAATGGTGACAAATGCTCAACCTGATGTCTGAAACATTGTTTTATTTTTTAAATACATTCATGATGGAGAGCTACGTGCAAGCAAAATATCACCAACAAAAAAAAAGACGTGTAGGATCACTGTTTATTTTGGATAGCAAGTAAAATGCCTGTATCTGTGTTGTAGACAATGCAACCCCTGTAACCCCACCGCTATAAAGAAATCCAAGTCTGTAAATTTCTCTACTAAAATGCATCATCGCACATCAAAACGATTCTGAATGCCTCTGTTTACATCTCAACAACTGAATTTTGCAGACATTTTTAAAAAAAAATTCCTAACTGGATCTTGGCTTACATTGTGTGGCGGTTATACAGCTCATTTACAAACATGGTTCTTTAAAGATACGTCTGTTAAAAGGTTCTTTAAGTAACCAAAAGTAGTTCTTCTGTGGCTGGGGTGGAGAACTGAGAGCTGAAGTCCAGCAAGGTTTGTTGATTTCCCTGCCCTAGCACACCAACCAAACCTGCCAATTAGCTGATGAGTTGAATCAGGTGTTCTTGAGTAGGAAAATCATCAAACTCTGCAGGAATCCAGCCCTTCAGGACTAAAGTTCACCACCCCGTTCTATGGTATCATTCCAAAGACCCCTTTTGGCATCTTTGTTTTTAAGAATATAGGTGCACTTCACAGGTTAACAGTTACTGACTATAGCCCATCTGTTTGCTGCCCCCCATTACCAGATTTTGACCACAGGACCACTGTTGTCTGGATAGTTTGAATATTTTTGGCTGGTTAATTACTCTCAGCACAATAGTGACATTGAGGTTCTTAAAAATCCCAGCAACACTGCTGTATCAGTGTTATTGCTGTGCTGAGAATTGTCTGCCTCTTAAATATGACCTGCTCAGTGGTGGTCCTATGGTGGCCTCTTTACATTGATGGACAAAGTAGAGGGGAGACGATCATTTCTGCATTAACAGATGGTCTACAGCAGGGCTCGGCAACCCAAATGATTCAACAAAAATCTAACCACCTTGAGAGCCACAACATTTATGTCCAATTTACCATCTTGGCTGAAAGTATTTCTCAGTGTGTGCTAATGTAGTAGCACAGGCTAGATAATATAACATAAACGGAAACGCAGACTTACTTTGCTTTGCTTTAACCTTTAGCTCAGCTATAGCCAATTTTCTCACATCTCCAGCAAGAAACTTTTCCTCAAAAGTAGAATAGTTTGTTGTAAAATGTCTCTCAACATTAGACTTTTTACAAAGCTGATATCATCTTCTCATTCACCAGCTTCTTGTTTGAATTTTTTCTGTTTCACCTCAAATGGTACCTGAGCTGCCAGAATGTAACTGCTGCACCATTTAAGGTGGAATGGAAAATTTGAACAAGAAGATGGCAAACGAGAAGCTGACTTCAGCTTCGCTACTTTTTTTAGTGTTTGACTGTTTAGTGTTTTCTGTTGCATATTAAATGTATCTGTAGATCATAAATGCAAATAAGTCAGTTCGTCTCCAAATTATTGATGTTTGTCTTAATTCTCTCTCTTTGCCTTTTCGTTAGCTACTAGCTAGATGAGATTGTTGTCTGCATTGCTGTGGGACCAGCAGTCTGCGTGCCAACCTTCAGGGTCAGTTGGTGAATTAGCAGATATAGGCTACATTAACTCCAGTGTTTAAAACCATTTAAAACTGCGTTAGAATGATCAGCAAGGCTTTAATTCTACTGCAAAGGATGATTATTTTATTTTTACCTAAAAAGATCTAATTCTGCTGTGGAGCCGCAACAGGGCAGTAGAAGAGTCACATGCGGCATGTTGCTGACCCCTGGTCTACAGTCAGTAATTGTAAACTTATATGGCCAATGAATGTAGGCATGAAGTGAACCTGAT